GTGGCTTTAGCTGTTTTAAAATTGAAGATGTAATCAGGTGTTACATACATAAAATGTGTTAGAAATATTTGTAACTAAAAACCTGATATAGTAGGGTATTACTGTTTCAGTCCTAGAACAGCTCATGATAAGTAACTATATATTTTGATAGGTAATAACCATGATGGAAATGTCTTCAGAATGGGAATCACTTTTTTCTAAATTAATAATAAGCCAGAAAAATAGGTCATTGTCATCCCAATATAGTCAATCACAAGTAAGGCTTCCTATAAATGTAGAATAATTCATGATACGGTTTTAGATTCTACATCAGAGTCTTCACTGTGTTAAGGACAACAGGATTACGCCTCATATCATTCAAACCAGAAATGAAAGAACACATTAACTAATGAAGCCTTACTGGAGTGAGGACATCTGATTCTCGAGACAGAAGACCTCAGTGCACTGAGGGATCTCATGGTAAGTTTCATTTAATGGTTTGTTTAGTCCTTTGGATGCTTGATTTGGTACTATATGTATTTGCTTTCACATTAGGTAAATTTTGAACAAAGTGAGAAAGATGAAATAGGAGATGCTCACAAGTCAAGAGCATGGAAGTGATGTGGGTAGGAATGAGGAGAAAAAACAACTTTATTACGAACAAAAATATGAGATGATTCCAACAAATCGGTGAGCAACAGACTGCATAGGGAACTTAGTATTGTAATGAATTCCACCTTGTGTGAAAGGAAGAAAAATCAATTCAGGCCTATCCTCACTTACAAAAGAAATCTTACCAAATTTCTATGATTTCCAGTGACTTTCTCTTTATTTGAGTGGCTATCCTCTGAGCAGTCATCAAACACAGTGAGTTTACACCATCATATATTCACAGTCCTTACCTCCTTGCGATGTCCAGACTTCCATTAACCTTATATTTCAATAATCCCTAATTATGACCTATTCTTTTTATTTCAAGTCTTGTTCTCAACTCAAAACTTGGCACATCACACTGAATATAATAATAATAATAATAATAATAATAATAATAAACAATAACAACAATGTAATGATGAGAAACCCATAATAGCTCTGCAAGACAGAGCTATGTGAACTCTGTAGGAAGATTAAGACACAACTGTATCAAAAGCCAGATGTAAAGCCAGTTTACAGGAGGTTGCTCTGTGAGAGACAAATGAGGGAGTTAGTTAGAAAAAGGCAAGCTGAGCCTGCCGTGTTACATACTAGTTATGTGTCCTAAGCAAGCTCCTTATCCTGTTCATATCTCGTTTTTATAATGTGTTGTATATAAATTATAACAGTAATAATATTTATGTTAGTATGTTGTCCAAAATATATTTCATGAGCTTTAAACTACAAAATCATGGGTCAAAACTGATTGAGAAGACCTTAAAATATTTAACAATGTAAACAAGACGAATTATTCAAAGGCATCCTATGGATTGAACAGTCTGGACAATTGAGAGCTGTCACTGCTCTTACCTAGATCATGCACCTGAGACACACTAGAAGTGCCCATGCAGTCTGTTCTGTTCTTTCAGTGATTTTTTTTAATCTAAAGAATGAATTATAATAATATCAAAAACTCGAGCCTGTTGATTTGGTCCTAGAAATCCACATCTGTAATTGGATTTTATATTTTGTTTTAAATAGAATGATAACATGAGCCCTTTTAACTTCAGCTGTAACAGACATAAAGGTCAGAATATGATTGTTTTCAGCCAAGATTATGGTGACTGTGAAGACCTGAAGAGAGAACTCAGAGATGTTCAGTTGTCTTTCTAGTGCCCTATGCACATTTGATAAATTTTAGATTGATTTACATATTTTTCTAGACATACAAAATACTTGTATTATTTAAAGATAGAAATGCAACTTAAGAGACAGGCACTATTATATTATATTGAATTGTACTGTAATGTAGTGTAGTATAGTGTAGTGTAGTGTAGTGTAGTATAGTATACTATATTATATTACTCCCTAAGAATGTTGTTTGCTTTCTAATAATGCATAAAAGGGATGAATCCAGATGGGTGGGAAGATGGAGAGAAACTGGGAGGAGTAGAGGGATGGTAAATCATAATCAAGATATACTACATAGAAATATATTTTAATAACAAAAAGGAATAACTATATATACATTCTTAATACATACACATTTCCTTGTCAATTTTTTATAAGCCATCTGGTGGACTGTTTTCTGCTCATATTTTCTCTAATCCTGGTGTTTCATGGCCTTTTTTTGTTTAAGATAGAGTCATCTCCCAAGAATAGTCTTATGGTGATTTCTACTCTTGATCTTAGTCAAAAGGCCAAGAAGCCATCTTAGGGTGATTTCTGAACCCTCAAAATCACAAGTGATCTTGCTCCTGTTAAAACATGATAGGATGAAATCTGGTCGGTGAGTTGGTATCTTTCTTTATCTCAGATCTGCTATGACATGTACATCAGTTATAGAATCCTATCTTTTATGACACATGCATCAGATATAGAATCATATGTGCTATAATGCATGCATCAGTTATAGAAATGTTTACTTATTGGGTAACTGTGAAAGGCATTGTTCTGATTCCCTCATTTCATATACACAGCACCCTAATGAGATAACCATGGTCATCGACTCACTTTAATCCCTTCGTACACACAGATGAGAAGTTGGAGACTGGACTTACAATGTAGACAAAGGTCTGAAGTCAGAGTCTGAAATCCAAGCTCTTAACCAAACTCTCATTTATTATTCTTCAGAGTGAATAATGTGAACTCCATATATACCTATTAAAGAATAATTCACATGGGCAACTAATTAACATATATCACCATAAAATGTTTAATTATCAATATTCTTATGAAGGTGACAGCTTATAGAATGCAAAGATGCTTTCATTTATCAACAAAAGCACAAGAAACCAAATAATTCTTTAAAAAGTGCAATTTACCTTACAACAGACTTCTTTAATTCTTGATTTACTCTATGTTGATTAATGACATCACTACATTTTTATCAAATTATATCAAATAATTCATGAGACCTGTTCACCATACCTAAATCTCTATAAAGCAATCTCTATGGTATGCATTTCTCCATACACATATCTAACCAAACACAGTATAGATAGCAATGCTATGTCCTGTTTATGTTTGCTCTCTTGAGCCTCCACTTTTTCCTAATAGGAAGCAATAGCAGTAATTCTATCTTTCATTTCACTGGAATAATATTTTACTCAACAAAATTTTGTTAGGCTAATTGCTGAAAACATACTCATAGTTATAATTGAATCCAAGTTTGAACTGATGAAATAAAATGTAAATTATGTTGTTATATAATACATCATTAGATAACTGGAAGAGAACAAAAATAATCACATCGGCCCTTTAAAATATTACTTTGAAATAATAAAGCATTATTTTTATACACACATTATATATGAATATGAAAACTTGTGTGTATATATATGCATACACATATATATTCTTTCCTGAAGATTTAATAAATAATTCTTAGCATCAAGGTTTGGTCCAAATGCCATAAATTTTTCAATGTGAAGTTCAGTGGTTACAATCTATGTGTCCACTCATATGTCTCATTTTGTTTAGACCTCAGTGTGCTAGATGGTTTGAAATATGTCAGTTATATCTTCCTAATCTGAACTTTTTAATTTATTTTTCTGTTCTTCCCAATTTATTTTTCTGTGTTTCCTTTGTGAGTTAAACGTGTCTCTGATAAATGATTTAATGATAAAAATTTCATAAATATTTACTCCTTTAAAGACATAGTATCTATTATATTAGTCACACATTGAATGTCTCCTAACATTCGAATCCTGGGCTGTTTTGAGAGATGTTTGTATGTTCATGTTTTGAGTCTTCTAAAAGGAATGAAATCTTCCTAATTAATTCCTAATTAATCTTCCTAATCTGATTATCTTCCTAATCTGATTATCTTTAACGTAATACTATACAAGAGTGAATTTAAGATTTTTATCTTGTTTCTTTAATTTGTTTACGATTAATTAATTTCTTCATTTCCTATAGGATTTTTTCCCAGTGTCATGGAAATTTGTTCATAAGATAAACAAAGAAAAAATAAAGCTAAAATATGAACAGAAACTAGAAGACATATGTCACATATATGTGATCAGAAGTCAAGGTAGGTGAAGATAGAGCAAGGAAGAGAATGCCTTTGTGAGAAAGACAAAGACTATGTATGCTAACTTGGAATACTGTGGCATAAACACTCATTAGCTCAGTGGTGGTTCTTAGTGTGCCAGAACTATGATCCACAAGCTGCAGATAGCCCAAAGTAGCAGTGAGTGTGGTCCAATCACAGTCAAAATTTTATATAAAACATTACCAGAGTTCTATGTGTAATTTTATTGTAACTCGGTGCACAGTTCTGAAGCATGAACTCTGTAGATCACAACATGGTCCAGAGAAGACAAAACATCAGATGACTGGCTACTTAAAACATTGTTAATTGCATTAATGTCAAACAAACACATAAACAAACAGATTCAGTAACAAAACACAAAACTGATATATCATCCATCAAAACAGGACTTACTTATATTTTTATATCCTTGATTTGTTAAATAAATTACTCAAGTAAGGAAAATGGCTCTTTTTAACTATAAGCTTTATATTAAAATAGTCTGTAGGTAATGGTTGACACTGACTGATACAATAGCTATGGTTACTCAAAAACAACAGGTTTCTGACCACTAGATCTCTAGACCTTGAAGAAAAGAGCTGTGTTTGAATATCAGAATTGAATAAGGGAAATGAATGATCATAGACAAAGCCTGCCAGAGCCTCTGAGGACTATGGCAAAAGAAATACATATCAGATATATAATGAAGTGTCCAGTCTTAATCTTAGCCAACTGTGAGTATTCACATTTAATATAATAAAATAATCATAATTTTGTCTTCTCATCTTTGTTTTTGCATTGTTGTTGTTGTTGTTCTGCTTTGGCAGGTCCAGAACTAGTAGGAAAAATAAAAATGGCAACATCTTCAACCACTTTAAACTACACCAATGTCAGAGACATCTGGTATACCATGATTGGGATTCCAGGACTGGAGGACTTACACATATGGATCTCCATCCCCATCTGTTCCATGTACATAGTGGCTATTGTAGGCAATGCTCTGCTACTATTCCTGATCATCACGGAACGCAGCCTTCATGAACCCATGTACCTTTTCCTTTCTATGTTGGCACTGGCTGATATCTTTCTTTCTACAGTCACAACACCAAAAATGTTAGCAATCTTTTGGTTCCAAGCTGCAGGCATTTCTTTTGCTAGTTGTGTATCTCAGATGTTTTTCCTCCACTTCATCTTTGTGGCAGAGTCTGCCATACTGCTGGCTATGGCATTTGACCGTTACGTGGCCATCTGCTATCCACTAAGATACACCACCATTCTAACCCCATCTGTCATCATCAAAATGGGCATTGCATCTGTGACTAGAAGCTTCTTCATCTGCTTCCCCCTGATCTTTCTTGTTTATAGACTCACCTATTGTGGGAAAAGCATCATTTATCACTCATACTGTGAACACATGGGCATTGCCAGGTTGGCCTGTGACAGCATCAAAGTCAATATTTACTATGGCATGATAGTGGCTCTATTTTCCCTATGCCTAGATGTTGTGCTGATCATTGTTTCATATGCCCTTATCATTTGTGCTGTGTTTAGAATTCCTTCTCGAGATGCCCGACGCAAGGCTCTAGGTACTTGTGGCTCCCATGTCTGTGTTATTCTTCTGTTCTATACTCCAGCGTTCTTTTCTTTCTTTGCTCATCGTTTTGGGGGTCATAGTATACCACTACATGTGCATATTCTCCTTGCTAACCTCTATGTGGTAGTACCACCCTCCCTCAACCCCATCATTTATGGAGTGAGGACAAAACATATTCAGGAGAGGTTTATTCAAATCTTTTCTTTGCACAAGTCAGTTTGTTGATCTAAACCAAACAACTATATTCTATTCTTTATTTTTTCCTCATTAACTACATAACTCAAGAGTATCTGAAGTTATGATGTGAGTGTTAAATCATGTCATCATTTCTGAGGGCAATTAAAATAATTTTGAGCAATGAAAAAAATGAAATAAATTATACTCAGAATATATTTTGTTTAGAACAAGAACACATTGCTTTATTACTTCTTTCATCTTTGTTACAGCATACATAAATCATAATATTTCAGAAACTTGCAATTCTATCTTTATACATAAAACAGAAAAATTAATACAACCCTTGTTCAATATATAAAACAAATGAAGACAGAATCCTATATAATTTTGCCATTTCATTCCATTTTTTTTTTCTAAAACTGGGAAATGAAGATATCCAAAACTTTCAAAACTTTGGAACTGTATATCCAAAACATTATTTTTTTCTGGTTATCACAGTATATCAGTCATGGAGCATTTACATTCCAAGTTCAAGTTTCATATTTAGGATGTTTGGTTTGGATCAAGAGTATTTAGTTCTCTTCCATTCTTACTCATTCATCTCCAATTTCCACTGATAGATAGATATTTATAAACAGAAAAACAGACAAAAGTGTCCTACATAAAACTTCTAAACTAGTGCCAGGTACAAAATGAAAATAATAACTTTGTTTAATATTATTTTTAGCAATTGAAAATGAATATGAATCTGATAATCCTGGAGATTTAATGTTTTAATGTGTTCCTTCTTTCACAGAAGATAATCCTGGAATATGCAAATGTTAAATGTCTTCACTGTAAATATAGCAGAAAGACTGTCAGAGACAGATTTTAGCCACATTAACATTTGTATTAATTACAACAATTGAAATGGAAAAAAGTCCCTTATTTTCTCTGAAAATAAGTGTGATGGTAACAGCTATTCCTCTTGGCCATTGTGTGATGGCACTGCAAACTGCAGAATGCTCACAGAGCAATACATACAATTAGTGGTAACAGTATGATATTTATCGAAGAGAGAGTATGATGGAATGTTAGAGAACATTTAACAATTCTAAGCAATTGAACACAGAGGTACCTGACATATTGACTTGTACAATTCTGTTAGCAAATTTGCTAGCCTCTGTGTACTTGTTCACAGAATTGAAAATGGGCATAAACTAAAACTATCATAAATGTTATGATTAAGTTGTTACAATACAACCCAAATTATAGCACAGTAAAACTGTTACAATAAAAACCACAGCTAAGTATGCACAAGGAAATAAAATGCTTTCTACAGAAGATAAAGAGAATATAAATAAAATTAGTTTTATGTAGGAATGCATATATCCATCTAATACAGTATGTTTATTTTTGTACAAAATATGGAAGAATAAATAAGATTTCATTGTTAATTTAGAAATTTTAAGGAACTATTTTAGTGAGCATATATATATATATATATATATATATATATATATATATATTACTTTAAGCTCCATAAAGTCTCTCCTTTTTGAAGTGGAGACCTAGTATTACTATTACCGTATCCCATTAGTCTGTAGATTCTCCTGTTGTTTTCTTCATTCATATATTAGTTTACATATATACTTATTGTCATGTGATGTTATTCTTTTTAAATTATCTTCTAATAAATAACCCAAGATTCTTATTTAGTTTCTTTCTTGCAGATGAAAATCATGTTTTAAGTATTTATTTGGAGTTGTGTCTTACTGAAGAGGTGATATTTGGAGATTGTTGAATTTGGGAAAATAGACAGAATACTCCTTTTGACTACATTTATTATCAGTTTGTTTTCAAAGATGAGTAAACAGAATGCATTTATCTCTACAGAATTCTTAATTGTTATTTAACAATTTATTTTTTAGGTGTTTCTCAGCCATTCAAGATTCCTTTGTTGTGAATTCTCGGTTTAGTTCTGTATCCCATTATACCCCATTTTTTGACTGGGTTGTTCGGTTTTTTGGTGGTTAGCTTCTTGAGTTCTTTATATATTTTGGATACTAGCAGTCTATCAGATGGGGAGTTAGTGAAGACTTTTTCCCAATTTGTAGGTTGTTGATTTGTCTTATTGGCTATGTCTTTTGCCTTACAAAAGCTTTCCAGTTTCATGAGGTCCCATTTATCAGATCTTGATTTTAGAGCACGAGCCATTGGAGTTCTGTTTAGAAAATTTCCCCCGAGCCAATAAGTTCAAAATTCTTTCTCACTTTCTTTTTTTTTTCCATGTTATTTCTTTTTTTTAATTTTTTTTTATTGGATGTTTTATTTACATTTCATATGTTGTCCCCTTACCCCATCCCCCACCCACCCAGGAACCCCCTATCCCCTCACCCCTCCTCCTTCTTCTCTGTGAATGTAACCTCTATCTACCCCCCCACTCCCACCTCCCCACCCTCAAAATTCCCACCCCCTGGGGCATCCAGCCTTCATGAGGTCAAGGTTCTCTTCTTCCACCTATGCCCAGCAGGGCCCTCCACACTTACATATTCAGCTGAAGCCCTGGATCCCTCCCTAAGTGCTCCCAGGCTGATGGTTTAGACCCTGGGAGCTGTGGTTGGTTGGTATTGTTGCTCTCCTCATGGTGCCGCAAATCCTTTCAGCTCCTTCAGTCTTCACTCTAACTCCTCCATTGAGAACCCCATCATCAGTTCAATGGCTAGTTGTGAGCATCTGCCTCTGAATATGTCAGACTCTTGAAGACCTCTGAGGAGACATCCATATCAGGCTCTTATCAGCATGCACTTCCTGACTTCCTCATCAGCATCTACCTTTTGTGACTGCACATGGGATGGATACTCAGGTAGATTCAGTGTATCTAGTTTTGTTTAGATCCTTGATCTACTTGGACTTCAGCTTTGTGCAAAGTGACAAGTATGGGTTTATTTTCATTTTTCTACGTACTGATAGCCAGTTAGACCAGCACCATTTGTTGACAATGCTTTCTTTTTTCCATTGTATATCCTGGGCTTCTTTGTGGAAGATTAACTGCCCATAAGTATGTGGTTGTATTTCTGGGTCTTCAGTTCTATTCCATTGATCAACATGTCTGTCTCTGCATTAATATCATGCAGTTTGTAATACTGTTGCTCTATAGTAGTTTGAGGTCAGCAATGGTGATTCCCCCAGCTGTTCTTTTATTGTTAAGTATTGCTTTTACTATTCTGGGTTTTTTGCCTTTCCAGATGAATTTGAGAATTGCTCCTTTCATGTCTTTGAAGAATTGCATTGGGATTTTGATGGGGATTTAATTGAATCTGTAGATTGACTTTGGTAGGATGGCCATTTTTTTAAATATTTATTTTTTATTGGATATTTTACTTATATTTCAGATGTGATCCCCTTTCTAAATCCCCACACACCCAGGAACCCCCTATCCCATTTCTCCTCCTCCTGCTTCTATGAGTATGTGCCTCCACCTACCCTCCCATTCCTACCTCACCACTCACGAATTCCCCCACACTGGGGCATCCAGCCTTCACTGGACCAGCGACTTCCTCTCCCTATGCCCAGTAAGGCCATCCTACCATACATATACAGCTGGAGTCATGGGTCCCTTCCTATGTGCTTTTAACATGAAGGCATGCTTCGTTTTGTCAAATGTGTTTTCTGAATCTAAGGAGATTATCATGTGAATTTTTTCTTTGAGTTTGTTTATATAGTGGATTACTTTAATAGATTTTCATATATTGAACCAAACCTTCATCCCTGGGATGAAGCCTACTTGATTGTGGTCAATTATGGTTTTTTTGTGTTCTTGGATTTGATTTGCAAGAATTTTATTGAGTATATTTGCATCAATATTCATAAGAGAGATTGGTCTCAAGTTTTCTTTTTTGGTTGGGTCCTTGTGTGTTTTAGGTATCAGAGTAATTGTGATTTCACAGAATGAATTAGGTGGTATTCCTTCTGATCTAACTTATGGAATAATTTGAGGAATATTGGTATCAAGTCTTCTTTGAAGGTCTGGTAGAATTCTGCACTAAATCCATCTGGCCCTGGGCTTTTTTTGGCTGGGAGGCTTTTAATGAGTTCTTCTATTTCCATATGGTCTATGGGCCTGTTTAGATAGTTTACCTGTGCTTGATTTAACTTTGGTATGTGGTATCTGTCTAGAAAACAATTCATTTCATCTAGTTTCCAGTTTTGTTGAGTATAGGCTTTTGTAGTAGGATCTGATGATTTTTTTAATTTCCCCAGTTTCTGTTGTTATATCTCCCTTTTCATTTTTGTTTTTGTTAATTTGTATACTGCCTCTGGGCCCTTTAGTTAGTTTGGCTAGGGGTTTATCTATCTTGTTGATTCTCTCAAAGAACAGCTTTTGGTTTTGTTGATTGGGTTTGTGTTGTTCTCTTTGTTTCTATTTGGTTGATTTTGACCTGAGTTTGACTATTTCCTGCTGTCTACTCCTCTTGGATGTATTTTCTTCATTTTGTTCTAGAGTTCTCATGTGTGCTGTTAAGTTGTTAGTGTAAGATCTCTCCAGTTTCTTTACCAGGGCACTTAGTGCTATGAATTTTTCTCTTAGCACTACTTTCATTTTGTACCATAAGTTTGAGTATGATGTGCCAACATTTTCATTAAACTCCAGGAAGTCTTTAACTTCATTCTTTATTCTTCCCTTGACCAAGTTATCATTGAGTAGAGACCTGTTCAGTTTCCACTTGTATGTGGGCTTTCTGTTGTTTTTGCTGTCATTGAAGACCAGCCTTAAAATCCTTAGTGATCAGAGAAATGCAAATCAAAAAGACCCTGAGATTCTACCTTACGACAATCAGAATGGCTAAGATTAAAACCTCAGGCAAAAGCACATGTTGGCGAGGATGTGGAGAAAGAGGAACACTCCTGCTGGTGGTATTGCAAACTGGTACAACCACTCTGGAAATCAATCTAGAGGTTCCTCAGAAAATTTGAAATGGATCTACCTGAAGACCCAGAAATGTCAGTCTTGATAATTTACCCAAAAGATGCTCCACCATGCCAGAGAGGCATGTGTTCACTATGTT